TGAACTCTGGGCCTGGGCGCTGTCCCTCAGCTCTTCAGCTCAAGGCGAGCGCTCTACCACTTGGGCTACAGCGCCACTTCCGGTTTTCTGGTGGTTTATTGGAGACAGGAGTCTCACGGTCTCTCCTGTCCGGGCTGGCTTTGAACCTCGATCCTCAGATCTCAGCATCCTGAGTAGCTAGGATTACAGGCGTGAGCTACCAGCGCCCACCCGGCTGATCTCAGCCTCTTGAGTAGCTAGGATTACAGATGTGAGCCACTAGTGACCAGCTGGGAGAGGGTTTATCTAGCATGCTGAAGGCCCTGGATCCCAACATGAGCATTGCAGATATTTAGACTTGGGTTTCATCCTCAAGGTATCACACTATGTGTGTGAGCATGAACACAAATTTTACAAAATTTGAAAGAAAAACAAAACAAAACAAAACAGAAGCTCAGTGCCAATGGCCCACACCTATAAACCTAGCTACTCAGGAGGCTGAGATCTAAGGATTGCAGTTCAAAGCTAGCCCAGGCAGGAAAGTTTGAGGGACTCCTATCTCCAATTAATTACTAGAAAAATGGTGGTGTTGGGGCTCTAAGTGGTAGAGTACTAGCCTTGAGCATAAAAGCTCAGGGACTGTGGTCAGGCTCTGAGTTCAAGCCTCACAACCAAAAAATCACCCACAGAAATCAGAAACACCTCATTCTAAACATTTCACGATAAGAAACATAACCTATATCCCCCTTTCACACAGAGAATAGATTGAGCTGGAACTAAAATCAGGCTCTACTGCCCAGTCTCTAGTCTAAAAGTTCCTCATACCATTCTGCCTGCTTCTTAATAAGTTTAGGTTACAGATGAAAGACTCAATTAGATTACTCAAGATCTCAGCAGGCATCTTTGAACGTGGGTGTTTTTGTTTGTTATAGTGTTACTAAGGCTTGAACTACTAGACTTTTTATTTATTTATTTTTGTCAGTGTGGGCTTGAACTCAGAGCCTAGGACTGTCACTGCGCTCTTTTGCTCAAGGCTAGTGCCCTACCGCTTTGAGCCACAGCTCTACTTTTGGTTTTTTTTTCTTCTGCCAGTCATGGGGTCTTGAATTCAGGACCTAAACACCATCCCTGAGCTCTTTTCTTTTTTTTTTTTTTTTTGTGGTCATGGAGCTTGAACTCTGGGCCTGGGCGCTGTCCCTGAACTCTTCAGCTCAAGGCTAGCTCTCTAACAATTGAACCACAGCACTACTTCTGGATTTTTCTATGTATGTGGAACTGAGGAATCAAACTTGGGGCTTCATGCATGCTAAGCAAGCACTCTACCACTAAACCACATTCCCAGTCCCATATAGATAAAAGTCTCACAGACTTTCCTGCTGGAGCTGGCTTCCAATCAGTTCCTTAGATCTCAGCCTCCAGAGTAGCTAAGATTACAGGCGTGAGCCACCAGTGTGGGACAAGTTTTTAATGTGTGCATGCGTGGGGACTGGAGCTTGAACTGGGAACCTGAGTGTTGCCCTTTGGTTTTTTGCTCAGGGATAGTGATCTACCACTTGGGCCACAGCTCCACTTACAGCTTTTTGGTGATTATTTGGAGATAAGAATCTCATGAACTTTCTTGCTTCAGGCTGGCTTTGAACTGTGATCCTCAGATCTCAGCCTTCTGAGTAGCTAAGATTATAGGTATGAGCCACTGGTGCCTGCTTCAGGATTCTCTGTCCTTAAAAGAGCTCCATGATGATGGGGAAAATAATCATCAAGAAAAACTAAATGAAGACCACAGTTTGGGGTTGAATTCTTTCTTTTTCTTTTTCTTTTTGGTCAGTTGTGGGGCTTGAACTCTGGGTTTGGGCACTATCCCTGTGTTCTTCAGCTCAAGGTGAGCGCTCTATGGCTTGAGACACAGCGCCACTTCCGGTTTTCTGGTTGCTTTTTGGAGATAAAAGTCTCATGGGCTTTTCTGTCCTGGCTGGCTTTGAACAGCCATTCTCAGATCTCAGCCTCCTGAGTAGCTAGGATTACAGGCGTGAGCCACTAATGCTTGCCTTGGGGTTGAATTCTTTAGAGAAGGAAAGAAAAAGACGCAGAGCCAGCTCAATCTGTTTGGGGTAGAGATTTATAGTTACCATCAAAAACTACGAATAAGCCAGGCAGTGATGGATCTAACCTGTAATCCTTTCTATTTAGGAGGCTAAGATCTGAGGATCCCAGTTTGATGCCAGCCCAGGAAGACAAATCCCTTAGACTCTTATCTTTAATTATTAGCCAGCAAGCTGGAAGTGGAGTTGTAGCTCAAGTAGTAGAGCACTAGCCTTAAGCAAAAAAAGTTAACCAAGGTGGGTGCTGGTGACTCATAACTATAATCCCAAGAGATAGTGCCCAGGCAAGCCCTGGAGTTAGTAAAAAAAAAAAATCAAAATAAAAACCCTAAGCAAGAGTGGGAAGCACTAAGTTCAAGTACACACCACACATACTGAAAGAGCCCAGGAGTTTCTCTTCTACTTCCCCGTAATAACAGCCTCCATTCGATGGCATCCTTTGCTTCTCCATCAAAGAATGCTAGATTGTGTCTTTCTCATACACCTGATGAGAGATGGAAGGATGGAAGAGATGGAGAGTCAGAAAGTTGTATTTTTAGAGAATTCTATAGAAGGTTGCACACTTTCTTCCTCTAGTAACCCAAGACCACCGGAGTTACCACATACGTTCTTTTGGTTGTCCCCTCTAATTAAATTCTCTTGAAATTTCAATTCCTGCTTTGAGCTCAGAAGATTAAAAAAAGAAGGTAAGGACTGGCTTTATTTACTGCCAGCCACTGAGCAACCCGGTGGTCAGGAACTCTGAGGGGGAAAAAAAAAAAAAGAAATGGGGGGAAACCCGCGCCCCCCAGAGGCCTGCTCCTGGCAAGCCACATCCTCACCAAGGGCCTCTCTTGTCACGTGACAAGCTGTTCCGCAGGTAAACTACAACTCCCAGCGATCCCCGCGACTCACTCGCGTCACGCGCTCTCGCTGATTGGACGCTAGCGACATTTGAAAGGAGGGGCAGGCGCGGAAAACGAATATTACTTTTCGGATCCTGGCGGACGGAGTAGTTGAGCTGGGCTTAGTCCTGAGCTTGGGGACGGAGTGCGGCGTTTGGAGCTGTGAGGCCGGGAGGAACGCGTGAGCGTGTGCGTCCCTCCGAGGTGAGTGGGGTTCCTCACACCGTCGTGGGGGAGAGTCGGGGTCAGGAGTCTGGGCGGCCCAGGTGGACGCTAGGAGCTCAGAGGAGGCCTCTTGGGCTGGGTGGAGAGGTAGGGAGGGCGAAGGCCGGCCTGGAGGAGCTGAGGAAGGGAGAGAGAGCCGAAGCCTCAGATTATAACAGGAACCTGGCTTCCTGATATGCCTCCCCCCCCACCCCCCAATAATATTTCTGGTGGGATTTTTTTCATTGCCTCCTGCCACAGCCTTAAAAGTCCTTTTATCCAGTTTGCCCCATTTTAAGTCTTCATCTCCTGTAATCCATCTCTTCTTTTCCTAGCTCTGTGCCATGAGGAATTTCAAAGGAGTTGACTTTGGGACGCTACTAAGCAGTCAGAAGGAGGCTGAAGCATTACTGTCTGACTTGAAGGTGGGGAACTGTGGGCTCAGGACACACCTGGCTTTCCAAGCTCAGCTGTTTCATTTGTGGTTTGCTTTAGTTTGAAAAGATGGATTAGAAGGGGACTCCTTCTTGAGCAATACCATCCCTAGTGTTTGTTTATTTTTTTTCCTACCTCTTTTCTTACCTTTCTAGTGCCATTCATTTTTCTTTCCTCATAGGAATTCCTGTCCAAGCCTGCAGCTGATTTTCCCAACAGCCGATCCGATTCTGAAAGAAGACACACTTGTGATGCGATCCTGAGGGCTTGCAACCAGCAGTTGACATCCAAGCTAGCTTGTCCTAGGCACCTGGGCAGTCTGGTGGAGCTGGCAGGGCTGGCCTGTGATGGCTACTTGTTGTTCACCCCCCAACGCCCTCCCCTCTACCTGGAACGCATCCTCTTCATCTTACTGCGGAGTGTAGCTTCTCAGGAAAGCCCAGAGGCCATGCTCCGCCTTGCCCAGCCCCTCCATGCCTGCCTGGTGCAATGTTCTCATCAAGCTGCCTCCCAGGATTATGTGACCATGACCCGGGGTAGCTTTTGCTTACTTTGGAAGGGAGCAGAAGCACTGTTGGATAGGCAAGCTGCATTCTCAGCTCGGATGAAAGCTGTCAGCTTTCTAGTGCTCTTGGAGGATGAAAGTACCCCTTGTGAAATTCCTCACTTTGCCTCTCCAACAGCCTGTAGAGTGGTAGCTGCTCATCAACTATTTGATAACAGTGGACATGGTCTAGATGAAGCAGATGCCAATTTTCTGTATGACTTGCTTTCCAGGCTTGTGATCAGAGTTTTAGTGAAGGAGGAAAATAAGTCTCCTGGTCCTCTTTCTCCTCAGAGGGCCCTCTGCCTCTTGGAGCTCACCTTGGAATACTGCCGTCGACTCTGCTGGAGCTGTCACTTTGACAAGGCCAATAGAGCAGTAGAGGAGGCTCATGGTTACCTAAGGAACACCAGTCTAGCCCCGAGCCTTCAACTATGCCAGTTGGGGATTGAGTTGCTGCAGACTGGGGAGGAAGGATCCCAAGCAGTGGCCCAACTTCTGACCAAGGCATCCGCTATTTTGAACAACAGTATGGAGGCACCGTCATGCCATCTTCGGGCATTGTATGATAGTTGTCAGTTCTTCCTTTCAGGCCTGGAGCGAAGTAACAAGAGGCACCATAGACCAGATGCTGTTCTGAGCCTCTTTGCTTTCCTTGGAGGATACACTTCCCTTCTGAAGCAGCTGCAGGATGCTGATACAGATGTGAGTTAAGGACCTAGAGATAGGGTAGGGATGTTGTTCTGTGAATGTACTACCAGCCTAGAGTCTTTGGCAAGATCTTAACCCTTGCTTTTCCTTGGTAAGCTTGTCTCTGGACTATATACCTAGCAAACAGAATTATCTTTCCTTAGAGAATAGTGGTGTTTCCAGTGGTCCCTTCTTCCTTCTTAGTTAGTACTACTGGACTCTGGAAAGATTTCAACTTGCTATTTCTCCACTCCTCAAACCAAACCTTTCCCTTTCTTCTTAGGACTCTGAGGACTCAGTCAAGCGGCAGCAGTATTTGCTTCAGACGTACTTTCAGAGTCTTCACCTCTATGCTGGGATTGTTTATGACTTTGCCCAGGGCAATCAGGTACTGTCTGGGAATCAGTGGCCAGAACCAGGGTCTAGGGTTGCTCTAGAGCTTTGGCATTGCTTTTTCTTGGACTCTAGGGTGCTCAACCGCAAATCCTTATTGTTCCTTCAGGTAGCTGGTTTGGCTGAATTGGTCCAGCTAGTGGAGAGTTGCAAATCTATAGTTGTCTGGATGTTGGAAGCCTTAAAGGGTCTGACAGGCCAAGAGCTGACCACCTACCTAGGGATGACTGGTTAGTACCCTGGGGCTCAAATGCACAGTTCTTAAGGGGATGTCACTCATTAATGATGGGTGACTAGTATTTGCCAGATGGTTCTTACCACTGTGGGGGACACTGCAGTGAAAGTGATACTTACAAAGGTCGGTCACTCTGATGGTGTGAGTTTGCCTTCTTGGAATGGAAGACAGACTGGCTTGGAGCCAAATAAGAGAGCTGCCCTGTCTCAATCTTGGTGATGACCTGGAATATTCTGATAAATGCTTTGATCTGGCAGCTGCTGTTACTCTTCCCTTCCCTCTCCCCTCTCCCCCAAGTTGAGTTTCTCCAGTTTGTCTAGCAGGACAGCACTGGGAACTGTTCCTGTGGTCAGTTGTCCTTTCTCTCCCTTGCAGCCTCTTATACCAGTAACTTGGCCTATAGCTTCTATAGTCACAAGCTGTATGCTGAGGCCTGTATCATCTCTGAGCCACTCTGCCAGTATCTGTGCTTGACAAAGCCAGAAACTTATCCTGAGGTGCCTTCTGAGAAGGTAGGAAGGAATGAGAAGGGCAGGTGGGGAGGTTCTGTGATGGGAGGCTGGAGTCATATGAAAGGACCTGACCATGACCCTGCCTTGGGCTGGATAGGACTTAAGAGCTGCATGTTGGCATGATTATCTGTGGATACTATTACTTTTTTTTTTTGGGGGGGGGAACAGTCATGGCCTTTGAACTCAAGGCCTAATCACTGTCCCTGAGCTTCTTTTGCTCAAGGCTAGAGCACTCTACCACTGGAGCCACAGTGCCACTTCTGGTTTTTTCTGTGTATATGGTACTGAGCAATTGAACCCAGGACTTCTTGCATGCTAGGCAAGCATTCCACCACTAAGCCACATTCTGAGCCCCCAGGCTGGCTTTGAACTTTCATATTCAGATCTTCCTTTTTTTTTTGTCGTGGGGCTTGAACTCAGGGCGTGGGAACTGTCCCAGAGCTTCTTTTGCTCAAGGCTAGTGCTCTACCACTTGAGCCACAGCATCACTTTTGGCTTTTTCTGTTTATGTGGTACTCGAGAATCAAAGCCAGGGCTTCATGCATGCTAGGCAAGCACTCTACCACTAAGCCACATTCCTATCCCTGAGAATAATGTCTTAAGGAAGAATACCTGGGAATGAAGCATAGACTTCATTGACAGGTGATGACATGGGTGGTGGAGGTGATAAGATGCTAAAGGATTTAAATAGAGTCCTGACAATCAGATGACATTCAAATTGCTCTGACATTACTGTGTAAAACCAAATCCAAAGGACAAGGATGGGTAATTGGATGTAAGTTAAGGTTTCATTTGGTAAATGGTTGGCTAGGAGGGAGAGAAGGGAAGGCAATATGGTACATACATCTTCCTACTTCTGTTGTCCATGCTCACCAACTTCTAGTTCCAACTCCATCTGCTCCCTGTCTCTGGTTAGTTGCACAGGTTTTTCCGGCTATATGTGGAGAGTTTGAAGAAACAGGGTCAACAAACCCAGGGCTGTAAGATAGTGACCTTATGGCTGACCATCCTGAAGTCCTGTCGTCCTGAACATATGACTGAGCCAGTCACTTTCTGGGTTCGGATCAAGATGGATGCGGCCAGGACTGGAAACAAGGAGCTACAACTGAAGTGAGTTGGTGGGGAGGAGGATGACCATAGTAGCCTTGTGGATAAGGTGACTTTTTGTCAGTCATGGGGCTTGAACTCAGGGCCTGGGTGCTGTCCCTCAGCTCTTGAGCTCAAGGCTAGTGCTCTACCACTTGAGCCACAATGCCACTTCTGGTTTTCTGGTGGTTAATTAGAGATAAGAGTCTCATGGACTTTCCTGCCCGGGCTGGCTTTGAACTGTGATCTCAGCCTCCTGAGTAGCTAGGATTACAGGCATAAGCCAGCAACACTGGGCTCGGTGACTTTTATACCCAATGGCCATGCCCCTCCATCCTTATGTATGAGAGAGGCAGTAATAATTCCTTCACCAGCTGGGCGCTGGTGGCTCACGCCTGTAATCCTAGCTACTCAGGAGGCTGAGATCTGAGGATCGCGGTTCAAAACCAGCCCGGGCAGGAAAGACCGTGAGA